GCCGCCCCGCAGCTCCCTGACGGCCGCGAGCCCTCGAGCCCCGCGGCAGCCTGAGATGCCCGGCACGCGGCTGCAGCCGGCGGGCAGCCCGCGGGGGCCATGAGCCGCTGTGGCCGGTGAGGAGCCTGGCGCGGGGCAGCCCTCGCCTCCCTCGCTCCCTCACTTGCCCGCCCGCCTCGAGAGGCCGGGAGGAAGCGGTGAGTAATGGGCGAGCCTCCTGCCCTTCCCCCTCGGCAGGCGGCCGAGCTGGGAGACTGGCTGGGGACTGGGGTGCCCCAGGGTCTCCGCTTTGAATAATTATGTTAATAGTGATATCCCAAGACAGTTCCCAGGCGCTGCCATCCTGGGGCTGTAGTGTCAGCAGTGAGCGTGTGTTAGGGGAGGGGGTCCCATAAAGTGCACGCTGGGCTGGCAGAGTGGGGCGGGGGTCTGGCCGTGGCTGAAGGCTTTGGGGTCCCGGGAGACACGCCGGGGACGTGCGTGCAGCCGGCATCGGGCTCGCCGGGTTGGCGGCGGTGTTCGGTCTCTTGGAGTGGCCGCTGTGTCGCGTGCCGGATGCGTGTGTGCATGTGTGTTGCCTGTGTCGGGCGTGGGGTGTGCCCAGGGCTGAGTGCCCCCCGGATTTGGGGGCCGGGCCGGGAGCGCGCCCGCGTGCACGCACGCACGCACCCTAGCCTCGGGACTCCACGCCGCGGGTCGGGAACCGCAGCCCGGCGCACTGACTGGCGGGTGCCAAGGGGGACTATGAGGAGGAGGGGTTCCCCGGTCCTGCGCTCTGCGGGTGGGGGGGGGGTCCGAGGACGGGACCGGGTGGACAGAAGCGAAGTCTGCAGTAATTAGCACCACCACCCCGCCCTCGTCCCCCGGCACACCCGCGCGCGCGCGCGCACACACACACACACACACACACGCGTGCACACACACATCAGCGCTGCTTCCTAGCAGCTGAGGGAACTGATGGAAGCCCTTGGTGTGTGTGTGGGGGGGGCAGTTTTTTGGCTTCATTCGTTTTATTTTCAGCACGGAACGGGAGAGGTTAAAATAGAACAAACGCCTTTAATGCAGTGCCATAAATTCTCCGCTCCCCTCCCCGCCCCCCTTTTAGTGATTAAAAAACAAACCCGTGAAGGTTTGGTGCTTAGGGTTCCCGGGCAGGACTGGAATTGGGTGCAATTTATCAAAACGCAAGCTGCAGCTGGGAGCCAGGTGTCAAGCTCCTGGGTGGTCCAGAAACCCCTGGGGGGTGGCGTTGTGGGTACGTGATAGGAACACATCCGGCCTTCTGCAGGCACCAAAAGGGAAGCCTCGGGCCTCTGCGACCTGGTGACACGCAGCCGCGTGTGATTAATCTTCCACAGCTGTTGTGCCCCATACACTCGCTCTGAGCTCTTGTTTACCTCGGGTTTTCAAATATAGCTGCTGCGCCATGCTCGTGCTGAAAGAAGGGGATCAGTTCATAGTGTAGGGGCGCTTAGCCGCCCCACCCCCCTCCTTTTGCTGGCCAGCTTTGCTGGATCCAACTTTGAGAGGAAGCTGCCCCTTGTGCCTTGCAGTTGTCCAAATGAAGAAGGCTGTTGGTCTGGTCTGAGCGTGCAGGGACCAGAAGCCGGCTGAGAGTTAAACTCCCCCCCCTACGCCCCACCCCCGCGATCTACTGGAGCCTGCCCCAGTGTCTTCCACAAGCCCACTGCCTCCATTCTTTAAATAAAATACGGACCTTTAATTGAGAAGCTGCAGATGAGAACTACTGAACCAGACTGGATTAGGATGGTTTTCTCTTTGGCTTGATGAAGATAAGGAGGCCATTCCTGACATTTCCTCTACCTGGAAGTTGTTCAGCCTCCTCCCTGCTGCCTTCAATTTGCCCTCTAGCTCTCCTGCTCCTTCCTTTTCAGGGAGGACCCCACCACATTTTCTCAGACTAGGCCATTTCCTACCTCTTTCCTCTTAACCCCTTACACCGAATCTATCACTTCAAAGTAATGTAAAGATGCGTGATAACTTTTGTGATTGAGTAATGCTGTGCGTAGCTCTAGATGATAATCTCCACAAAGAAAAGAAAGATGCCTCCTGTGTATTCACAGCCCAGCCCCCGCACATAGAGTAGGCCCTCAGTGGATGCTGGGTGAATGAGTAAGATTGAAGGGACAAGTAATTTTCACCTCCCTGCTCCTGCTCCTCAGATCTTAGCTATCACCCCCAGCCTCCTGGGGGGGTGGATAGAGGGTGATCAAAATAAGCCTGTTAACACAAATTGCCTTCCCTCGTGCCCTTCGGTTAGGTTGGCACGCTTGCCCAGCCCTGCATGCACCTATGCAAGGTGCCTCCTTCTACAGTCTCTGGGCATAGTTACTGATTTTATCCAAGGGCAGTGACTGTGGCTTGTTCCTGGCCTGTATGATCCAGTCATTGCCTGCAATCTGGATTTGAAGAATAGGCCACCCATCTTGTCCTTTCTTTATACTTTTTAAAAAATGTGTTTGGTATTGGGTCTCACTACAGCTTGGACACATAGTGATCCTCCAGTTTTCAGCCTTTCCACTGCTAAGATTACAGGCGTGTGCCACCATGCCTGGTCCCTGTGACCAGCTCAGTGTTCCCGGGGGAGGGGCCGGCCTGGCATGTGGTGCCAGAGATTGAACTCCAGTCCCTGTGCTTGCCTAAGTAGGCACTTAGTCCTCTGAGCTATTTCACATGCCTCCTGTCTTCAGACTATTCACTGAGCTATTTCTTTAAATACTCAGTAACCACCCATGCTGCCAGCCTTGTGCTAGCAGAAGGGAAGGGTCCCTTTCCTGATAAACATACATTCCAGCAGGGCTAGCAAGCAGGCGATGACCATGCAAAGTGACTTCTTCCAGGGGAAGGTAAATCACAGGTTAGCCAACACTTACAGAAGGAGCACCGCCCCAGAGGGCCTGCAGGAGGGTGCATGGGGACAGGCAAGCCCAGGAGGGAGGAGGAGGAGTTAGCTTTGGTGAAATGAGAGAAAGGAAGACAGGGAAGACAAGAAAGAATTATGAGTGAAAGGACCCATGTTTTCCCAAATGTTGCAGGCACCATAAAGAGTGGGGAGATGAGCTTGGAGAGGCCAGAGTCAAACCTCAAGGGGCTTTTGCTCTATGTGAAGGATTCCCCTGAGTTTTCAGGAGGATTGAAATGAAGAGTCAGATTTGTACGTTCCATAGCATGCTGACGCTGGCTGGAGCTGGGATATAGGGTGAGAAGGAGGCAAGAAGGTAGGAAGCTTTGTAGAAACTCAAGAGGGAACCTGGCTGTTGGGGATGTCACACATGGAGTATTTTTCTATTCATTTTAATGTACAAAATAGGCATGCACTTCTTAGGAAGAAGTTCCACTCATTTTCTTTAATGACATTGGTTTAGGTTTAATTGTTCATTTGCTTTTTTGAATGGGCACACTAAACCCAACATTGTCCAGGGAGGCCTTAAAGGAGGAAAGGCTCCTCTTTCAGCCCACTGAGCTGCAGAGCCAGGCACCTCCCAAAGATCAGAGATGGAAAGGGCTTGGGACTGGAGAAGCCTCCAAGGAGTCTGAAGCATAACGAGGATGTAGATCCATATGGAAATCCCTAGAGTTTATAGAGTAAGACCTTTAGATAGGAGAAAAAAAATTACTTGTATATGTGGATGTATTAAAAATAATCTTAAAGAGTGATGAAAACAAATACCAGGATCTGGGGAATTCAGATATAATATACAGAGTCATGTCTACTAAGAAAACTGCTTTGTTTCATTATAGATATATCAAGGAGCATTTAGTGCCTTGATACTTGGATTGACAAACAGGTCATCGCTGGTTGTGTACAGGAACACTGGGCCCTGTGGAGACCGGATCTGGGAGTGGAACTGGAAATTCATCTTACCCTTTATTTCATGTAATAATTTCTAAGTCATTGAAGAGGAGAGGACCTCAGAGTCCTAGAGAATTAAGTGGACGGTGTGAGAATGGCCCTCATCTTTGAATTTTATTTATTTGTGTGTGTGTGTGTGTGTGTGTGGCCGGCTCAGCCCACCAGGGGGTGGGGCTGGCTGGCATGTGGTGCTGGGGGATTGAACCGCGGTCCTTGTGCTTTGCTGAGCTTGTTCTAAGTAGGTGCTTTAGACCACTGAGCCATCTCACCAGCCCCCGGCCCTCATCTTTGTTGTCACTAATTTCAGAGTAAAAAAAAAAAAAAAATCGCCCCCCATCCTCCTCCACAGTGGTCAGGAGCTACCCTGTCCTTCCCAAATCGCCCTGGACTCTTGCTTTTCATCTGACATCTCTTGCTTTAGCACAGCATCTTGTCCTTCCACAAACTATTCTACGAAGAGTACCACTTATCCAGTTTCCCATCCCTCCCCACCTTGCCTTCAGTAAGCTTGCAGTTGTGGCATAATCATCTGCCTCTGGTTCCTTCTCACTCTTTCAGGCATTTGATCCCATGATTACCACAGTTTTTCGCCTTCTGCCCATGGACTTCTCATTCTTCAACTACGACTCAATCTTCATATCTCCCTCATCGTTAGCTAATATCCACTAGCTCCTAAGAGCTGTCCTCTTTTGCCCTCACTCTTTTACCCACACCGTCACTCAAGTAGTCTTGTCCTTTCCCCTTTCGTGCCTTGGCCCACAATTTACCTGCCTGGGAATCATACCTGTTCTCTCTGCTTCCTCCCAGTGAGACGACTTCTTGGAGGAGAAGCAGTTACTTGTTCCTCTGTGGCTGTAAGAGCGCGTCTGTGTTCTATGAGTGCTTTCCTCTTGCAGAGCTGCACATTGTATTTTGCTGTTTTGTGCCAGGCCAGCCTCCCTTCCCAGGCTGAGCACCACTTCTTCCTTTGCTTCCTCTCATATGCCTGCACACAGTAGATGTGCAATGAAAAGCGAAAGAGTAAACAAATCACCTGCCTCCCTCCAGAGGCTGCCAGACAAGGTCAAGAAGGGATCTATACTATTTATCATAAAAGGGGCAAGTGGCGGAGCCAACATTTAGGCTGGGAATAGCCAACATGGTGCAATAGAAGAAACACTGAAGGTTAGGTTCTTGTTTTCTCGACTTCTGAAAACTGCAAGTGCGACCCACTTTTGCTCTCTGGGTCTTGGATTCCTTATCTGTGAGAAGAATTTAAGTTGGATAGGTTGACTCTTAGGCTGTCTGACCTGATAGGGAGTATTCAGTGAGTCCTGCTCCACA